TTGAACTTTACATGATAAACTTTACAGTTCACATTATTGTTAGGTACAGGTGTAGGGACAAAGCATGGGCAAAAGAGGAACATCAATGCTCGCAAATAAGTTGGTCTGTGGACTGTTTTTCACTACAAGTTGGCTTTGTTGGTTGTTTTTTTTTTTTTTTTTAGGTGATCTTCTCAGCAGACCAAACGCATGAGCTGATGTTCTGTTTAGAGGAGCTCACGTCCTCACTGGACACGACCGCTGCCGGCACAGACAGGCCCATGCAGGTACGCATCTCCTCACACAGCCTTAATCCTGCCCTATTGCCTATTGCTCTGTTCTATTGCCTAAGAAACTAGCTTTTAGTTGCTTTGCCAGTTTTTTTACCCAGTTAAAGTGTTGCTCTCAGCAGCTGGTACATTTTAAGAAACCAACTAGAGGCAAGTTATTAACGTCCATTTTGTCCACTTCACCGAAAACCCTTGAAGAATTTACCCCTGATGCATTGCTTGGCTCGTAATACACAGGCTCAAACTATCTGCTGCAATGTTACCCACATACAATCTACTACACTCAAAATATATCTTTCGTTTCAGGATGAAGACATAGAGCTGACCAAAGTGGAGCTCCTGCGACTCGCTCTGGCCAGGAATCTGGCTATGGCTATAGTCAAAGAGGGAACTGTGGAAGCATGAATGGTGACTTTAAAAAGGAACTTTTTCTTTAGCATTTTTGTACTGTACATAAAACTCAAGTGTGCCCTTTGATAATAAAACACTTTTCATGATGTACGTTGTTTTAGAGTCGGACTCAAACTTTGAATATCTGACATCCATTGAAAGAAATATTTATTTTTTCATGCAGCAAACACATGGCACATCATACAGTATGTACAGACCTAACACTCCCAAAATCTACACATCACATGTTCACATAACTCGTCATACAACAAACAATAGGTACATTACACACTATGTACATTAAACACTTCCGTACATCCCACATGACAACGGTTGAGGACTACCAGAGGAAGGGACCTAAGGATCGAGGTGGACTGATTTATCAAAATCCCACTGCTGAACACTGCAAAGTGTATTTATCTGGTGACAGATTTCCCTTTTTCAAGCCACAGAAATTAAATTTAGATTTTTTTAGTTCACATTTTCTAGGTTCAGTGATGCACTGAAATACTATAACAGAAAATAATAAATGACAAAAAATACTCCCAATACTGACACTGGTAGAAGAGCTTTAAATACAGAAAAAAAACTATTGATACACGTGACTGAAATGCTGACAATCTGAGCAAACCACCTTCCAAGAAAAAACTAATCACATGAAATAAAACTAGATTTGAACTCAGTAGCCTCACGTCATAACGACATATTTGTAATTAAAATTACCTTCTAAAGTGCAGTTGGTTGCTTTTACAACACAGAATTTAACATTGTTGGTCCACTAATCTAAAACGGCTAAATTAAATAGAACAATTGATAAACACGTTACTTAACCATGTCAAAAATCTTAATGCATGAAATATTCATGTAATCGATATACAAACAATCAACTATCTTCCTGCAGCAATGACTACATCACAGTACTTTTTACTTAACAGATGCATTTTTTCCTTCTACCTACTAGATCCCGTTTCCAAATTTCTGGATATATTCAAGTATATTTTGTGTGGGCTAAGAAAGTGCTCACACAGGAATAAATGAAAGCACGACTGTTCTCTCTCCGTTAACTTAGAGGTTAATTTCTTTTAAAACATTTTGTTATGCTGCAATGCATCCCGTCAGTCTGAGGCTAATGCATTGATTATTTAAAGTACATTCAAAACTGTTATATTCACCTTGAGGGGGGGGGGAATCCATTAAAATATTTATCTCAATACCACCGACTTGTAAACGTCACGGCTGTCTTGCCAGTGTATATCTTTAGTTTGTTAGCTATCTGCAGAAACGTATACGAGCACCGTATACGTAAATAAGTGTCTGCTGCAAGCTTCTCACTGCCAGTAACAATGATGGCCAAAGAAATGCACAACGATAAGGAATGTGAAGCTGAAAGTTGGAGAGCCGCTGAATGAGCCCCCACCTTCCCCTCCGTTCTCTCTGGGATGAACACACCCCTTCATGGAGTCTGTCCCTGCTGAGCGGTAGCGGGACTACGAGCTGCTATAGATGACCCCATGTCTCTTGTGGGGGGAACTGGTCGACTTCTCCGACCTCGTTGCACAGTCGGTCTCCTAGCGAGAAAGCCAGCTTGTAGCGCAGACGCACCTTCTCCTGTGGAGACGCACACACAAAACATCTTTAAGCATAATCGGCTACGACAAAGCGTTGTGTGGATGAAAAATTATTTGTGGTTAATGGACATATATATATGTCCTTAGGTGGTATTATGTCACCTTTGTTGGATTGGCCAGCAACATGATCTGTGTAATGGAGGCCGGAGGTAGGATAGGGTTAAATGGTGCCAGTTCTGTTCCTGATGGGGGCTGCAGCTTCACCTTCATTGACTGGTGGAGGATGAAACGAAGAGTCAGAAATGTCTTTTACGCCTTTAGTTTTAGAATTCATTTTTACAGACTTTACAGAGATGAGACACCAAAACAAAGATCCCAGGCTGGACTTGAACCTGGGATGTTGCGTTATCTGTGGCACCTTAAACCCCCCCCAAGACCACTAGGGCACCCTGTTCTGTTATTTCTAAGTTTCTATTGTCTAAAATATTTCAGATTATGTAGATACATCAGTGAATTAACTGTATGGATAATGGTTTGAAAAAAGTTGTTTAAAGAATGGATCAATTAAAGTTGACACTTGCTCTTAATCACACCTACAGTCTCGTATAGAAGTAAAAAAGCATGTTCATGAACTGTTTGAGAAAAAAGCCAGTGAAAGAACATGAATGAACAGAGGAGTAGATATCTCTACCTTGGGGACAGCAGCTTGCAGTACCACACTATGAACAGGCAGGGGTGCTGTATTGAGCATGGACACCACCATTACCAACACGTCAGGCCTGCAGGGGGGACAGTCAGATGCAAAGTTGAGGAGCATGCGAACGCCGTCCTTATCGTAGGCCGTCACAGGCAGCACTTTACCTGAGGACAAACAGGGCACAGCCAATCAGAAACATGAGCTATTCAAAGAGTCTACATCAGGCTGAGTATCATTTGTCAGTCAAGCCCATCATTTCTTGCTCCCTCCCTCCTCTCTGCTGTCCTTACTCGGTCTGATGGCCTCCAAAGGGACGTGCACATTGCTCAGGGAGATGTCTATGGCTCTGGCTGGGCTGCCTTGGAGGGGAGGGTGGCAGGGGGACAGAGAGCGGAACAGCGGGCTGCCAGGGGCTGAGCCTAGGCTCTGAGCCTTGGCATGGGACAGAGCGGGAGAGCCATGCATTGTGCCCTGGAGAAGAGAAGGTGAGGAGGGAGAGCCCTGTCCGGGTACGAGGGGAGGTGCTCCAGGCATCCCAAAGCCGCCTCCTCCTCTGGCCGTCATCTGGCTGGACAAACTGAAAATAACACGTGAGGGATCGCTATGGCACCTTAAAGCACTGTGGACCAGTCTAATAAAAAGCATACTGATTCAAAAGTGGAGAGAAAAGCAGTGTACATGACTCTGTACCTCTTGTGATCTGAAAAGCCCATCATGGCCAGGTCTTGCAGGTTCTGGAGACTGTGTATGACAGTAGCTGGTTCAGCTGGGGGCACCGCTGGACCTGAACAAGCTAAACTGCCAAACAAATCCACACTTGATGCTGGAGCCTGCAGAGGATATAGAGAAGATAATTTACCCTGTTGCATTACACACTGCCTAACAAGCCGTGGGTTTGGTTAAGGTTTTTTTTCCCACAAACTATCTTAGACATACTTGCAAGGAAGTCCACTGATTGGACAGTTCGTTCAACTTGGGTTTTGACTGGCTGCTCACAGAGTTAGGGGGGTCGTTCAGTCCTGAAAGAAGGTACAACAGAGAGAAAATCTTTCATATTTCCCAAAATAACGAATTGTTCCTTTAAAGATCCAGTGTGCAGGATTTAGTGGCATCTAGTGGTGTAATTGTAGATTACAACTCCCGCGCTTCACCCTCCCCCTTCCAAGCGTGTAGGAGAAACTCCAGCGGCCGCGAAATGTGCGGGATGTACTACCTAGAGACAGCAGCTCATCATCGAGGAGAAAGAGTGCGGTGGAGGCCTTGTCGAGGGGGGGGTGACTCGGGCTGCTGCTCTGACTGCCATGCGAGCCGGCGAGGCGTTTGGGAGGAGGAGGCAGGACCGGGATGGGGGAAGCCGTGGGATTGGCGGAGACAGCGGAGACAGGATTTGAGGACTGGGACGGAGGGGCCGCTGGTTGAGGGGGACTCGGAGTGTCGAGGCCGGCGAGGTCAATCAGTGTGTCTGTGGTCTCTGTGGAGTGATAAAGAGAGAAAGATTGACTGCAGCTGAACTAACGACACAATGGCAGGATATCCAGAGCATAAATCGCATTTTTTATGCAGAATGAAAAAACATAATTCTAAAATGTCTCTTACCGGTCTCACTGTGACCAGCCGTAGTCCGAGGCTCTTCACTGTCGCCGTTCATGGGCTGCCCCTCGACAATCTTCTTATAGGCGTTGATGACCCTGGAGAGGTCATCGCTGGCCTGCAGGATGTCACCTGAGTGGTCAAAGGTCAGAGGTTACACACTATACACAATAAAATGATCAACATGTGTCAGCAAATAAAGAGAATACCAAATTAGCAAACCTAAACTGGTGTCATTGTCCTCTGTCTCAGTGGCCATTTTGAAAGCAGCACGCCTCAGCTTGTCACAGCGCTCGTAGAGTTCCTGAGAGGAAACACAAAGGAGGCGCTGTACAGTTGGACTGCAGCTGGTGTGAACTGCTGGAATTTCAGTGGTTAGTTAAGTCAGTTTATTGAATTAAGTATCAAACATATCAAATTACTTTACTTTACACAAACAATATACAATTAAAAACACTATATAAATCACTAACGCGGTCATGTTCTAATATTTTCAGGCAAATATGAGACATAGCGAAGACTCTTATCTGTGCCTATAAATAGTGAACTAGTTATGCTCAAATCTGACACAGATCCTGTGAGTCTGAGGACATAATGAATGTGCATACGACAAAGAAAGAGGACAGAGTGGTTGTTGTGCACTCGAACACTTTAAACCTAACATGCTGATCGATATGGTTATTGATATGTAATGTCAGCGGGCGGCAGCAGAAACCTTCAGTCAAAGAAAAATGCTGAAAACCCCAAATCATGTTGGGTCATGATCAAGCATTACTGCAAATTACACTGAGGGGAAAATAGATAAAATGACTTGCGTGAGTTTGCATTTCACTTTGGCAGTCATTCTGGATTAGAGTTGAGTTACTATTGAGCTGATTGGTCAATATTAGATACTAGAACAAAACCAAATGCCAGTGGGTTTTAAATCATAGTGAAAACAATAAAATTAATGTACCTATCAGCTTATTAAATGGCAAGACAACACAATGTTCTGACAATATTTACTGCTGTAATATGTATTTAAACTATATAATGTTCCGGCTGATCTTTCCAAAATCTTCCTACATCTAGAGTGAGTTTCATCCATGTAGGTTGAAGTTAAAGTCTCATTTGTGTGTGTGTGTGTGTTTGAGTGCACGGACACACACCTTAATGATTTCCTTGTCTGACTCAGAGGACCTGTCTTTATTGTAGTGGGACAGCATCTCCGTCAGCAGCTTCACGTTGATGTTCACCTCCTCCAGCGTGTGAATGCGCTTTGTTACTTTGTGCACTCGCGCCTCGTCCTGAACAAAGACAACGCGGTAAAAATACACGCTAAAACACCATCAGGTCGTATGTGAAGAATCTGAAATGGATGTGAGGACAAGTCTTACCTCTTTCACCATGTTTTTGATTAATCTGTTGGCTTCCTGGAGGTCCTCTGGATTTTTACTCCGGAGAAGCTCAGCAAGCAGCTAAACACACACACACACACACATATACACACGTTTGTAACAGTAAAAATGTGACACTTTTGGTGATGATGGCCTTACACCAAGCGTCAAACATTTGCTATTTTACAGAGGAGTTATGATTTCTGTGCTTACCTCTATTAAAACAACAACAAAATTACAGAACCGATGTAGTTTTCCTTCAATCATTCACCTTTCCCATGTCCTCGTTGTCGAACACCGGATGTTTAGGTCGTGTCGGAGGAGAGGGGATCAGAGTCCTGTCCAGCGGTAACTCTGGGTCACGTGTCACAAGGCCTGGTGAAGAGAGTGAGTGATGATTGGATTAATAAGCTCCCTTTGAGGCAAATGTCCTTATTGTCCACATATTGCGTTAACCATCATCGTCCACACACCCTGTCTTCTTAGCGTCTGGTAGGCTTCACCGATCTTGGCTTCATTTGGAAAAGCCACCGTCCAGCTGTACAGCATCTCCACAATCTTCAGCTTCACCTTCTCAGGCGTGCTGTCGCCCATGTACTGGAAACAAGAGGGGATTTATAAAGAGGCTGGGTGGTAGGAGACACGGTCACACATAGTTTTCATTTGTAGGAAATATAAACCTTTTTGGAGGCCGCTCACCTTTGGAGACACAACTTTAATCAGCTCATTCAAAAATCTGTATTTCCCAACTTCATTATGAAATCTTCTCCCACAGTTCTTCATGCATGCCTCCAACACCTGCACCCAAAATTGTTAAGATGAAGTGTTTGCTTTAGTTGTTGAGGAAGAACTCGACATTTATGGTGAAATACTTCTTACCGTCAGAGCCTGAAGAGCTTCCCATTCTTGCGGTGAGTGGATTTTGTGGACGAGCAGATTCACGGCTATCTGCGGACTGCACAAACAAATTCCAGATTAAAATCTTTTTCTAAAGGTGACAAACAAAAACAGGTTTTGTGAATATTTCCCAGACGTACCCTTCCAGTTCCTTGTTGATCTGATCACAGAACCCTATGATGTACTCCCAGTCCTCCTGTCTGTTTGTTGGATGGGTGGCTTTGTCTGTCAGAGAGAGAAATACATTCACTGGCATTAAAGCTGTGCGACGTACATCACAACCTACAGTGAATAAATCCTCCCTGTGAGTCTTGTGACCAACATAACAATGCAGTATTTGTTATCATCCTTCCTCTTTGTATTTACTGCTGTGGTGTTGGCAGTGCTGCTCATTCATCATTCAGACCAATGCAGTTTCCTGTCCAACAGCAGCAACTATGAAGCCACGATAAGCTTCAACAATCAGTGCACACACTGGGCTGTCACTGGTAAACGTGGCCCAGACAGTGTTTATTAAAAGGCTCTCCACCCATCCTGCTAATGCTGCAGACAGCAGGCTGTCAACCAGGACCCTCCACTGGCTCAGGATCAGCTGGAAACCGGCGCTGACAGCGTCTGTGCAGGCGGATTTACCGCCCTGTCACCCGCAGCTCTATATCTACCTAATTGTCCCTATTATTTAATTCATAAAATGGGATTAATCACTCACTGAGCCAGGATTCAAGCGACTCCCCTTCCTGGTACGCCATAGCACTAAAAACATCGCGTGATGTCACCAATGTGTGCGCGAGAGTCCAGAATGATTTAGAAAAAAAAAAAAGAAACTACAAAAAACACGCCTTTTCTATAATTGTAAATATATATATATAACAAAAAACATAAATATATATATTTTATCTCAGTATTTAATTTAAACGCTAAATGAAACTTTAATTTTATTTCCCCGAAGGCGGCTGCAGGGTCTACTAACGTGGGGTCCTAGCTGACACTCACATTTTCAAGATGGCTGCTTCTCTCTCAGGTTTATTAAAACCTTGGACACCAAGGTAATTACTGTTTTTATAAAGAAACTAACAATTAACTAACAATCAGCGGCTGCTGGTAGAGATATGTGTTTAATGTTACAGCTATGGGCGCGTTTTACCTGAAACTCACTGTTGTAACTTTGTAGTTTCATCAACGTTAAGCTCTTGTGTTAAATATCAAACACTAATGTAAAGTATTACTAATACTAATAATAGTTCTTTATTGATCCCTTTTTGATCTCTTAACTGATCATTTAGTCTATGAAGCGTCTAAAATAATGACCACATCACACGTCTGTATTTTCATCATCGATTCATTTGTCGATTGTTTTGTCGATTATTCACTTGGATTCAACTTTTCTTGTTTTGTTCGACCAATAATCCAAAACCCAGTTATTTAATTCAAAGAGATCATAAACCTGAGAAAAACAGACACCAAAGATTTGTTGGCATTTAGTTTTATTGTTGACCGACGAATCGTTTCATCAAAAATGTGGATTTGGATTTGATTGATAAATATCTAAAAGACAAAATTAAATCAATTATGGGTATTATTATATACTATTATATTGTATCAATCTCCTGATTATTCTAGATATCCACTATTCATTTGCTCATCAAAACTTCCCGTTCTGTCCAACCAACCAAACATCGAACAAGTTGGGTTTACAATGATTAAAATAAAGAAAAACATTTTCAGTAGAATGACTAAAACGATTAATCGTTTCAGCTCTCAGTGCTTTGATCCTCACGCACACACAGACTCTCTGATCACTTTGTGAAACTCTCACGTGTCCTTTCCTCGCAGAGTGTTTGCGGTGAGATGGAGCAGATACAACCCTTACTACCTGGAGCCGGAGGTCAGGAAGGAGGCGTACAGCAAACCAGACACAGAGCTGAGTAAAGAGGAGAAGGAGGAGCGGGAGATCAAAACGCTCAGACCCATCAAGGCCGCAACCAACGGAGTCACCAGCTCTGTTTTCAGTGACCCAGACCTCAGGTAGAACAAACACACATCCCAGCTCACTGCAGGAGGGTGTCACTTATTTGGTTAGAGCTGCGTTAATGTCAGGTGATCATTTATGACTCTCTCCCCCCAGTAAATTCATCAACATGATGATGACAGACGGAAACAAGGTTTTGGCCAGAGAGATCTTGACACAGGTAAAAAAACAAACACAGTTTGGAGATTTGCTGTTGGTCTAATAGTATTCAAATGACAACAGTTTCTCTCTGCTTCCAGACCCTGGAGAGCATAAAGAGGAAACAGGTGGAGAAATACCACAAAGCTCCAGAAGGGAAGAAGGAAGCGATTGAGTGTAACCCGTACACCATTTTTCACCAGGCTCTGGACAACATTAAGCCTGTTGTTGGGCTGACCAGCATACAGAAAGGTGGACAGCACTACCAGGTCAGTCTGGGATCAGATCTGTGCTCTGTTGTTGTTGGTCTTTTACCAACGAAGCATAAACGCATAAAAAGTCTGACTATTTTATTCATGCTTTCTCTCCAAAACCCACCCAGGTTCCCATCCCTCTTACAGAACACCGACGCCGCTTCCTCGCCATGAAATGGATGCTCACAGAGTGCCGGGAAAACAAGCACCGGAGGATGCACATGTATGAAAAACTGTCCCAGGAACTGCTGGCAGCCTACATGAAGGAAGGCAACGTTATCAAGAAGAAACACGAGATGCACAGGATGGCTGAATCCAACAGAGCCTACGCTCACTACCGCTGGTGGTAGAGAGAAACCCATCAGGACTGAAACGCCACTCAGATGTTTCTTCAGACCGGACAGAGGTTGTGTTGGCCACAAAGGGTCGTGGATGGATTCAGTGACATGTTTTGTTGTTCAGAGCACTATTGTAAATAGTGAACATCGTGAAGATCCTTTGGTAGGAAGGATTACGTTGTAAACAGTGCTGTAGGACAACATAATAACGTGGATTACTTTTTGTATTGAGAAACTTGCATTCAGTAAAATAAACAGTTGTGCTCAGTTTTTTTGTTAATTAACACGCAAACACAGAATTAATGAAAAACGTCCCAAGTTTTATTAGAACAAATAAATTTGCATTAAATGTACAACCCAACCATAAAAAAAATGGAATTGAGTAATGTAAAAATGTTGCAACAGTGTAATAAAATATATAAACATATATTGCAGTCAGTATTGTGTCTACAGCATTCAAACTCAGTTATTCCTAATTTAGCTCTTTAGGATCAGTTCAACCTATTTAGCCTCTTATTAGTTTTATTAGTTTGGTCTAAATGTGGTGCAAAATATCAAAGCCTGTACACAAATCTTCAAACACAACTAGAAAAGAGGATTTTGTGATTTAAATGCAAAATGGCTGCACTTTTAATAAAAATTCTAATTTTGACGATTCTTTCTCTGAATTGATCAGAGGTTGATTTGTCAGACTGCTACGAAAGCCAATTTTATATTAATGTTTAATTATTTACATATTATTACAGGTACAACTTTAAAAAAATGACATTTCAAAAAGAGATTTAATGTTTTAACCACATGACATCCGATGCTTTGCTTCCGATTCAAAGGCAGAGCTTTGGTTGAAGACCGTAAAAGCCGTCACAGTATCAACAAAGGTAACAACAGACTCCAACAGAAAACTGAGCTCAGCTACATAGTGTTTGTGTTTAGTGCTGGTGGAAGCTGAATTCAAAAGGAAAAATACTTTTCTACTGGCTTTATACTTATAACTGAGCTGCGTATGCGTGAAGGGAGGAAAAATACCAGCAGTGGTGGAAAGTAACACATTTCTTTTAACTTCAGTAAATTATTGGAGTCCTTCTTCCACCACTGACCTCCACAACCCTCAACTAGAAATGAACAACTTAGGCCTCATCAAGTCTCCTGTATTGGACGATGCTGTTCGTGTTACATTGGCACAATTTGTGGAACGAACCAAACTTGTGAAACCAAAAATGTTTTAAATATCTGACTGTAGAGACACAGTTTAAAAATGAACTGTAACCAATCTATTGGTCTTTTATTTATAAGTTGAGCTGTAACAAAAAGAAAGATCCCTGAATTAAGACGCAACGCTTCATCTGACAAAACGGCCTCACATAACGGGATATAACGAAACAGTAATACAGGAATCCTATGGGACAAATTAGGTCGAACATTCCTCTGAACCGTCCTTCAAACTTTTTGTAAAATTCCTATTCTACACCCAAATATTCAGCTAAAAAAAGTAAAATGTTGCTTTTAAGTTAAATAAAAATGTTGGTCACACAACAGTAAAAAAAAGGAAAGACCAAATCAGCTTGCATCTGACTGGACTGTCTGTTCCAAGCCCTTTGGATTTGGTCGAAATGAGTTGGACTTTAAAATGTTTTCTCAAAACAGGAATGCCTACAAAGTAAAAAAAAAAAACATAAAAAATATCTTAAGCCTTTTTTTTTTTAGCTGTAATCCAACTTTAAACAAAGTGTACCTGAATGTGGCTAAACCTCGTTAACTGAACTTCAACTCCTTGTGAACTATTGCACATTCCACATCCACGGCACCACGTCTTCAGTAATATTATCAAACGCAGGGAACAATCCAGCAAAATGAAAGTCTTTTTACAGTTTATGAACCGCACTCTTCACAAAACCCTCTACTGCTTTCCTGAAGGATGTTGCTGGTTTTATAATCAGTGGTGACTGAGGAGAGGTATCCGAGGTGCCTAAAGGTTGGCTAACGCACCTGCAAAACGGCTGCTCAGCACCCTCGTCCTTGCAACAATCCTAGTCAGCAATTTCACTGTAGTAGTACTTGTGGGCGGTGCTGCTGAGCAACCAGCCTCCGGCCCTGAACTCCAGGATCTCCAGCAGCAGCAGACGGGCCATGGAGGTGAGGCCCTCCTGGAGCAGGAAGCCATCCCGCAGCAGGAAGAACAGCTCGTCCATCCGCTGGCTGTTCACCTTCTCCAGCTGCTCACCGATGCGATGCAGCTGCAGCACGAGGCAGTCCACCTGCAGAGGGAGGTGGAGGTAGCAGTGAAAAATAAAGAGGACTCTGTGAAACACACACTTTGTTAAGTATGTTACCTATCCACCCAAAAATGTGTTTTTCTTCTTGTTGCCAAAGTTGGAGGTTTGACTTTCACTGTGCAAAATGAATTTATCTGCTCAAAGTGGAAAGTTTCTGTACTTTTTTTCAGGGGGCGGGGCCTACAAGCATGATGTGTGACATCACAAATAGTCAACCCTGGTACGTATGCACATTAAAAAAAACAAAACACTTAATGGATTTGGATGGATTTTAAATACAGTAAGGGAACCGCCTCAGGCACCACCTCCATGAAGGCAAAAAAAAAAAGCCAGAAGTTGTTTGGTGAATAAAGTAATGGACTTTAATGGATTTTAATGGACTTTAATTGAAGCTCTCAATGTGTGTGTGTTCTCAAATTAGGAATCTTGGTACCGTTGCCTGTGACCCACTGTCCTATGAAATATTAGCTACTCCTAAACACTCAAAATTGGAAACATTTTCCATTATAAATTGTTCATTATCAACATAAAGAGTGCAGAGTGAAGTGGATCTAAGCCACAGTATAAATGCCAAAAATATGAATGTGCTCCAATGTATGATGTACTGTAGAAATAGTCAATAAAAAAAGCTCACAGTGAAAATGCATTTTGCCAAATACACATCTAAAGAAATAAAATGAATATAACAAAAAGGAGAAATAACTCTGCATTCTTTCTCACCTCCTCCTCATTCATTAGAGCATCTGGTTGGGCCAGCCTCATCAGGCAGTCAAACACAGGATGGACCAGGGCCACCATTGGCATGTTGTTCACCTAAATGTCAAAACAAACACAGTGTGTAAGACTAAAGCTTTAATCAAGGCATCAAGTCCTCGAAAAACGAGCACAGAGTCTCCGTGAAAGAGTCGACCTGTGCAAAATGACAATGGCCATTATTAAGGATGAAACCTGAGGATGTGAAAACAAACCGGGGCCACGCCTTCCTGTCTCATTTTCCCACCACTGACAAAATAAACACCTGTATTACCACACGATACAAGAAACATGTGCAACAGAGATGTGAACAGTGATAGTGGTTGTGGGGAAGTTTTGGGAGAGTTGCATCTGCTACACTGAACACAAGATGTAATCAAAGATATCACAAGGCGAACACTAAAAGAAAATACAGTCAAGCGGTTCAAGATCCATTTAACAATGCTGCTCTGTATTCATGATTAAAGGTCCAGTGTGCAGCATTT